TTATTTATTTATTATTTATTAAATTTATTTGCTACCCAACTCATTTAGAAGCAACTCTCTGTAGCTTACAGCATAAAACATTAAAATTGTCAAAGATAAATATTCCTGATACTAAAATGAAAGTACATCGAAGTAAAATCATAGTTACAAGATGGGAAAGGAGTGTATGGCATTATGGAGTCAGTATGTGGAACCCATATGAATTTCTTGTGAAAAATGTTTGTGTTATTTTGTCAGTAGAAATGTTCATAGTTGCTTTGCAAGGATGCCTTGGTTTGGCCAAATTCAGATGGAAGTACAAGCATGGAACAAACCTTGTGTCATTTATATACTGTACTGACAAGTTACTTGAGGACAGCAGTCTGTCACTGATCTCTAGATTGATATAAGCTAGGGGTGGGCAACTATAGCAAATGTACAACCTGTGGACTTCAGTTCCCAGAATTCCTTAGTCATCCAGGAATTTTGGGAGTTGAAGTCCACAAATCATAGAGTTGCAATATTTGTCGACTATTAATATAGGCAGATCATGGACCTCATATGGCACTTGATGGTTGTCTGTATGACTCACTTCAGAGGCAGTTGATTAGCATTTCCCTAGCATGACATTAGGAATGCACGTCTCTGAAGATGAAACCAAATCAAGCTCTGCCCCACCAGCTGGAAGCCTTTGAAGATGAAAAGATTGACTGCTCATGTTCCAGATCCTTGTCTTTCCTCACTAATGAAATCTGTCAGGACTGGGCTCACAATATGTTGATCAGAGACGAAATGTGTTAAACCATGATCCAACTGCTGAAGAAGCCAACGTAGGTCTTCTGTTTTCAAGACTGATCATCCAGTTTCTCTCACAGAATTCTTGGGTTTCAGAGCAGATGACATCTTGTCAATTCCCAAGACTTTTGGAAGACACAAATTATTTAAATCCCTTCTGTTCTGTTTTCTAGCCAGGATTTTGGGATGAAAGCTATCCTGATTACCTTGGAGGTTGGGGAATGAGAGAATACATGTCTGTAGATTCTTTAGACCTCTCAGTGATTTTTGGTGCCATGGAATGGGACTTGGAGAATTGGTGTCAGGGTGACTTAAATTCTTGATGTGTGGGCACACTCAGAAAGTGGGTACTTCCAACTTTTATAGTGGCCACTCAAAATTCTCTCTTGGCCTCATTTTTTAAACTTTTATATAAAACTCCAAATCACCACAGATGGGGACTGCAGCATAATTAAAAAACGCTTGCTCCTGGGGAGCAAACCTATGGCAAATGTAGACAGCATACTAAAAAGCAGAGACATCACCCTGCCCACAAAAGTACGTATAGTCAAGGTCATGGTTTTCCCAGTTGCTACATATGGCTGTGAAAGTTGGACCATAAGAAAGGCTGAGCACCAAAGAATTGAGGCCTTTGAATTATGGTGCTGGAGAAGACTCCTGCAAGTCCCCTGGACTGCAAGGCGATCAAACCGGTCAGTCCTAGAGGAGATCAACCACGACTACTCTTTAGAAGGCCAGATCCTGAAGTTGAAACTCAAATACTTTGGCCCCCTAATGAGAAGGAAGGACTCATTGGAGAAGAGCCTAATGCTGGGAAAGATTGAGGGCAATAGAAGAAGGGATGACAGAGAATGAGGTGGCTGGATGGAGTCACTGAAGCAGTAGGCGTGAGCTTAAATGGACTCAAGAAGATGGTAGAGGACAGAAAGGCCTGGAGGAACATTGTCCATGGGGTCTCAATAGGTTGGACATGACTTCGCAACTAACAACAACCTAGAGAAATCATCCAAAGCTATGGACTGAGATGTCACCAATGTGCTGAGGAGGTTACTACATCCCAAAAGAACGATTAAAAAAGATGGAAATCTCAAATAAAACATCTTCATATTTGGATAGAACCACTTGAGGAACTGCCTGCAGGTGCGGAAGAGGAGTGGATGATCTGGAGATGTTTAATCACTGGCCTAGTTAGAACTAAAGATTACAAGGGAAAATTGAGATTTCTCCCTGAGCATGGAGATATTCATTGTGAATGTGGCACTGTTCAAACAACTATCCATCTTTTACAGGGCCCTCTAGAACCGACTTGCACATAGAATGACTTGCTAGTCAGATATATCTCTGCCATTAATGTGGCCTGGTGACTGGGCTAGAACTATATAAATCTATCTTTTATCAAAGCTTTTTTAAAAAATTAAATATTAAATTAATAATTTCCCCTTTTCCAGTTCCTGCATTTCTGACACAAGATGCTACACAAGACATGTGTAGCAAATGACACTCTACATGAGCTCTATTTTTGATCATTTTATCCTAGGGAAATGGCTGAAACAATGAACAGGTTAAAGCTTGGGCTCAGGAAGAAAATCATACTTTTTATAGCACTTCATTTATAGAGGACAGAACTTAATCTATAAAGTCATTTATGCAATACGTACCTTTTAAATTCAGCATGCTCAGAGGAGGTGTAGTTAGTGCCAATGGCTAGACATGGTTTTATAACCAATTTAGGCCACTTCGTGTTAAAGTAAAGCTCATTTATTGGGTAAAATGCAGGGTTGGTGAATATAGCTTCCTTTCATATGGAGCTACCTTGAAGATGATTTAACATTTGCAGGTAGAGCAGGAGCTGGTGGCCAGAACTTTTGTGATTGCTGTGTGACATTCAAACCCAAGTTCTTTATTGGTTGCGTGGCTTCTTGTTAATCCATTTTAAAGTGCTAATTTTTGCCTTTAGAGCCTTAAATGAACAAATGTTCATCTGAGGGATTATTTTATTCTTATATATTGCTTTCTGGGAAATAAAATTGGCCTCTTGGGTCCACCATTCAGAGTTATTCACATCGTGCATATTCAAGATCAGATAATCTCTTTGCTGGCCACACACTCCTACAACCCTGTTGAATTTGGTAGTTTCAATCTGTTGCTTTATAAAGCATTCTGAAAAGGTATTTATTCCTGCCCACCTGTGCTTAATGTGCTTGGGGTACAATAACTTCTGGCTTCAATTCATGGGTCTGGAATCTGTTGAGTTTCTTGGTTGTTTGTAGCTATTTATGTTTTAAAACCAATTTCATATACAGGGAATCCTCGACTTAAGCCCAAAATTTCTGTTGCTAAGTCAGACATTTATTAGGTGAGTTTTGCCCCATTTTATGACCTTTTTTGCTACAGTTGTTAAGTGAGTCACTGCACTTGATAAGTTAGTAACTGGTTGATAAGTGTATCTAGCATCCCCATTGGCTTTTGCTTGTCAGAAGTTCGCAAACGATGATCATGTGACCTTGGGACACAGCAGCATTCATAAATATGAACCAGCTGCCAAGCATCTGAATTTTGATCACATGATTGTGGGGATGCTGTAAAAGTTGTAACTGTGAAAAATGGTCATAAGTAATAATAACAATAATAACAACAACTACAACAACAATTGTTGATAAGAAAGACAAAAAAGTCTGGATAGTGGACGTGGCAGTGCCTGGAGATAGCAGAATAGACGAGAAAGAACTGGAGAAGATAACAAAATACAAAGACCTACAAATAAAAATAGAAAGACTGTGGCAAAAGCAAGCAAGGGTAGTACCAATAGTAATAGGCACCTTGGGTGCAATCCCAAAACAACTGAAGCACCACTTGAACACCATTGGCATTGACAAATTTGCCATTAGTCAATTGCAAAAGGCGGCCTTACTAGGAACTGCTTCCATCATGCGACGATATCTGTAAAACCATCAAACATCCACATCTGCCTATCCCAGGTCCTTGGTAAGGACTCGATAGGTAGACAAAATGCCAAATCCAGTCTGAACATCTGGCCGACTGCGATGATCCTCAATAATAATAACAATAACAACAACAACAACAACAACAATAATAATAAAGTTGGAAGGGACCTTGGAGGTCATCGAGTCCAACCCCCTGCTCAGGCAGGAGACCCTACACCATTTCGGACAAATGGCTGTCCAGTCTCTTCTTAAAAACTTCCAGTGTTGGAGCATTCACCGCTTCTGGAGGCAGGTTGTTCCATTGGTTAATTGTTCTAACTGTCAGGAAGTTTCTCCTTTGAACAGTCACTAAATTAACTGTTGCAAGTTGAGGCTGAGCAGCATGCTTTGAAAGGCCATTTAAAAATTCATTAAACAAGAATCCTACAGGTTCTGCTTGAAAGGAACTTAGCTACTTAGCTATACGTGTGCCAGACACTAGGCTATTTGAGTAGAAGACTATCAGGAATGCAAGCATTGTCAACATTTAGTGTGCATGGCCAGTAGCAAAGGCCTCAGTCCCACCATCATGAGTTGCAAGATTTAGCGATACTGCATATAAACAAGCAAACAAATGCGTTTGTTTTAATTTCTGCATAGACCTCAAAGTAACCAAACGGTAAAATCTCAGGAGTCCGGGAGAGGTAACAAAACCCACTAGCGTTGGGATATCAGTAAATCTAAATAAACAAATGTAACCAGAAGATAAGGTTTCAGGGCTTGGCAGCCGAAGTTGCTGTCCTGGCTTTTAATAAGCCTGTCTTACATCATGCTTTATGGATGGTTCAGAGAGGCACACACTGACTTGTGATGCTTCTCCCTAGCGAAGACTTTCCCAGGCCCATTTTCAGAATTTCTCCCAAGGATTTAATGCAAAGGAACTTACTGCAGGCCAAACATTCACTGTGTACTTTCTGAAACAGTCAGAAGGAAACAGGAAAATAGAAAACAAGTTTAGTCATTGTTTGTATGATTGTAGGAGCCCTGGTGGCACAGTGGTTAGAATGCAGTATTGCACACTAATTCTGTTGACGGCCGACTTGCCAGCAGTTTGGCAGTTGGAATCTCACTGGCTGAAGATTGACTCATCCTTCCATCCTTCCGAGTCAGTAAAATCAAGACCCAGAGTGTTGGGGGCAATATTCTAACACTGTAAACCTCTTAGAGAGGGCTGTAAAGCACTGTGAAGCGGTATAGTTTAAGTACTATTGCTGTTTCTATGATCACATTCCTTCTGATGGTGGACAAAATAGGGGTACTTGTGTAAGACTGCTGCTCTTAATTTTATTAGGGCAACGTTTACAAAATCTTTTGCACCCACCTGTTGTCCCCAATTTGGGTCTAAGCCTGGTGTCAAAGCCAATGGAGAACATCAGACATGAGATGCAGATTTTGTTTTCTTTTTCTTGAAATGCTTCAGCAAAAGAGGTTCCAGCCAGCAACCTGCCAGGACCCAGAACAAAGGATTAAGAGAGCTTTATACAATTTCACTAAAGCAGAAGGTGGAACACGGCAGGATACATAAGAAATATCATTTAATAACTATTTTAGTAATGATCTAACCATTTGTTATATTGGTCTCTAGCCGTCCCTGTTCCTAAGCCTTGGCTAATGAATTCTCCAGGAGTTATCTAATATTCTAATACACATCCTATTTGCTCCAGGCCATCCGTATTCCTAACTTCTCGCTGAGATATGCAGGATGTCTAACTCTTTGTTACTGTTTATCAGTTCTCGAACCACCTAGAATAGACACAAGGGTTTACACATGTATATTCTCTGTGAATAAACACTCTTTGTTCTTGCCAGACACAAATACAGGCTTCCCGGTTTTCTTTCAAGTGTATGCCATAGCCTTGCTTTGTTTTAGCAGACAGCCCCTCACACCAGTGTTGAGTAGACACAGTAATTGAATGGAAGAATACATGATTTATCTTGGAGTGATCACTGGAGGTTTTTAAGAAGAGATTGGACATCCATTTGTCTGAAATGGCATAGGGTCTCCTGCTTGAGCAAGGGGCTTGGATTATAAGGTCCTTTACCAACTCTGTTTTGTTACATCCTGCAGTGTAATCTTTATATGGACATTACCTTTCCTCTTATTCGCAGATGCCACTTCTCTTTGTGCTGAGTTTTCTGGTGATATCACAACCTGGCCATGGAGCAGTCCATCTGAACATCACAGAAGGTAAGATTCCTTCCTTTTCTTTCTATACTTTTGCCCTTGGGCCTCTTTTTCTGGGAGCTCAAGTTTCTTGTCAGGTGCATACCCCAAAGATGGTACATTCTGGTCTAAGCCAACACGCTACTGTTTTTCTAATACCTGTCCAAGCTCTGCTCAAAATAATGTATTTATATTTAAAATGTCTAACCTTGGTTTTAAAAAAGACCCAAATGGGTCTTCTGAGTCTTGTGTGATGGTGTGTTATTGTTGTTATTGTTATTAGTTGCGAAGTCATGTCCGACCCATCGCGACCCCATGGACAATGTTCCTCCAGGCCTTCCTGTCCTCTACCATCTTCTGGAGTCCATTTAAGCTCATGCCTACTGCTTCAATGACTCCATCCAGCCACCTCATTCTCTGTCGTCCCCTTCTTCTATTGCCCTCAATCTTTCCCAGCATTAGGCCCTTCTCCAGTGAGTCCTTCCTTCTCATTAGGTGGCCAAAGTATTAGAGTTTCAACTTCAGAATCTGGCCTTCTAAAGAGCAGTCAGGGTTGATCTCCTCTAGGACTGACTGGTTTGATCCCCTTGTGGTCCAGGGAACTCACAGGAGTCTTCTCCAGCACCAGAGTTCAAAGGCCTCAATTCTTTGGCACTCAGCCTTTCTTATGGTCCAACTCACAGCCATACATTGCAACTGGGAAAACCATGGCCTTGACTACACACACTTTTGTTGGCAGGGTGATGTCTCTGCTTTTGAGTGTGCTGTCTAGATTTGCCATAGCTTTCCTCCCCAGGAGCAAGCGTCTTTTAATTTCTTGGCTACAGTCCCCATCTGAGGTGATCTTGGAGCCCAGGAAGATAAAATCTGTGTGATGGGTGCCAAATGGTAGAAAGCGGCCCTTCCTTTCCTTCTTGTTCATCAACCTCATGCCCTCCAAGGTAAACAGGCAAAGAAATTCGGCTGTCTGCTCTTTGTTAGGGTTTTCTTGTTCTGCTCTCAGCTGAACCTACCTGGGATTTTCTGCAGGCAAAACGGGGAATCTAACAGAGGCCCAGTCAGCCTCCATCCATCTGGTGTTTTTGAAAGGTTAAACAAGAAAGGTTAAACAGGAAAGCAGCACACGCTGTTAGAAATTGCCTCAATCTTATATTTTGATAATTTCTTGTGAGCCAGGAAGGTTCTAGTCATCTTTTTTATTTTTGTTGTTAATTAAATGTCTGTGCTGTATTTCGTGTAGAGATAACTCATGCAGAGACTGTGCCATAATGCTAAAAAAAGGGTTGAACTCACCTCAGACCTTGAAAGCTCATGATACGGCAAGTGACCTACTTAATGGATCATTAACTTGTCGAATTTATTGCTACAAAACAAGGGAGGGTTTCTGACTTGGATGGGCTTAAGAAGAGAAGGGAATGGAGAAATTGTGACTAATCTGACAAGGAGAGGAGCTAGGGATGACATGGTGGCATCTTCTAATATTTGAGGGGCTGCCACAAAGAAAAGGGGGTCAACCTATTCTCTCTAAAGCACCTGAAGGCAGGACAAGAAGCAATGGATGGAAACTAAACAAGGAGAGAACAAATTTTCTGACAGTGAGAACAATTAACCAGTGGAATGCGTTACCTTCAGAAGCTGTGAGTATTCCAACACTGGAGGTATCCAAGAAGAGGCTGGACAGTCATTTGACCAGGATGATATAAGCTCTCCTGCTTTGAGTAGGGGGTTGGACTAGAAGACTTCCAAGATCTCTTCCATCTGTTATTCTGTTCAGTCTATGAAGGATTGGTCTCTCAAGGATTCAGTTCAAGGTTGGGGACAGCCTGCTCCAAATACCAGTAGCCATGAAACAAGAACAGAATGGGTGTCTGTCTTCTCTTCTTCCTTGTGAATACCCTAGAGCAGTGGTCTTCCAACTTGGCCCTTTTATGACTTGTGGACTTCAACTCCCAGAATTCCTCAGCCAGCATGCCTGGCTGAGGAATTCTGGGAGTTGAAGTCCACAAGTCATGAAAGGGCCACGTTGAAGACCCCTGCCCTAGAGGCATATGGCTGATCACTGTGGCCAGGCTTACTTATTTATGTTAATTATTTTATGTCTTCTTTATTATTGTATTTGGGTGCTTTTACACTCTATGTTTGCTGCATTAAAATGAAGATAATTTCCTACATTACCTGAAGCACTGTAGTATGATAGGTAGGGTATTAAATAAATAGAATGAAGTTCAGAGTACCAGAAAGTTAAATCTAATATTATATAAAATGAGATCCAGTAATAAAAAAAGGATATCATGAGCAGAAACATGGGCAAAATGATGTTTCATGAATAATTGGCAAAGTTATAAAACTGAAGGTGCCAGATACCAATAACAGTAGTAGCAGTTAGACTTATTTACCACTTCACAGTGCTTTACAGCCCTCCCTAAGCAGTTTTCAGAGTCAGCATATTTGCCCCCAACAATCTGGGTCTTCATGTTACCCACTTCTAAAGGATGGAAGGCTGAATCAACCTTGAGCTGGTCAGGATTGAACTCCTGGCAGTGGACAGAGTTTCCTGCAATACTGCATTCTAACCACTGCGCCATCACGGCTCTAGTAGCCAGGGTTTCCAAAACAAAAATGGCAAATGGCATAACGCAAGAGTTTTTGAGTCAGGCAGCAAACAGTTTAATATATTATGGTGGGTTGCACAATCAGCCAGATGTTTAGATTCGATTTGGCATTTTTGTCTATCTATTGAGTACTGTACTTCTCAAGGACCTTGGATAGGCAGATGTTGTTGTAGATGTTATTGTTTAACAATATTAAAGATATTGCTGCAAAGATATTGCTGTTAAGCTGATCCAAGTAAAGCCCCAATTTTGCAATTGACTAGTGTCAATGTTCAAGTGCTGCTCCAGATGTTTTGGAATTGCACCCAAGGTGCTTTTTACATTTAGTACTATCTTTGCTTTTTGCCACAGCTATTCTACTACTATTTGGTCTTTTTGTGATTTTCTTCAGTACTTTCTCTTCTTTTCTGCTGTCTCCAGATATTGCTATGTCTACTATCCAGACTTTTTTTGTCTTTTTTTAATCAACAATTGTTAAGTCTGTTCCCCCCCCCCCAGTTTTTTAGGAGAGGTGGCTTTTGCTGTCCGTTATTATCCACTCAATTCCAGCCATTCAGAATAGAACTGAAAGGGACCTTGGAGATCTTCTAGTCCAACCCCCTGCTCAAGCAGGAGGCCCTATACCATTTCAGTTCAAGTGGCTGTCCAGTCTCTTCTTAAAAACCTCTAGTGATGAAGCACTCACAACTTCTGAAGGCAATTTGCTCCACTGGTTAATTATTGTCACTATTAGGAAGTTTCTCCTTAATTCCAGATTGCTTCTCTCCTTGATTAGTTTCTATCCATTGTTTCTTGTCCTGCCCTCTGGTGCTTTGGAAAATAAGTTGACCCCCTCTTCTTTGTGGCAGAATACTGGAATAATGCTACCATGTCGCCCCTAGTCCTTCTTTTCTCTTGAGTAGCCATACCCAGTTCCTGCAACTGTTCTTCATATGTTTTAGTCCCCAGGTCTTTAATCATCTTAGTTGCTCTTCTCTGCAGTTTTCCCAAAGTCTCAACATATTTTTTGTAATGTGACCAAAACCGGAGGCAGCATTTCAGCCATGAACACATTCATTCTCGAGGCTTAGTCTAGTGCAACCACAATTAGCCTCTCTGCCTCTTTCTTTAACTTTCCTATTTTAGCCATTGCCAGGACTTGCTATCTGCTTTGCCTGCTAGTTTTTTCGTATCTACAGGCCATCCAATACTTTGCCTTGCCACATCTTCTTTCTGTTCTTCATTTGGTCTTTCTTGTACACTAGTTTGGTCTCTCTGGTATTCAGTAAGCTTTCATGCTTTACTAGTCTGGGTGCTTCTTCTTCACTGTCCTTCAGATATTCTTCCCATGCCCTTTTTTCTTTTTCAACTGTCTGGTATACTTGCAATATTCCACGCCCACCTATTTTCCTTGGTAAGTAGAATCTGTCAACATTGCTAAGTTAAATGACAGGCATGATTCATTGTCATTATTTTTCTGGTCTTCCTACTCTGGGCTTTTAGCTCTGTTTATATCCGGTCCACTGTTCCATTTGTGTATCTAATGACTGGGATTGTCCAGGTGTAAATTGCCTTGATAATATTTCCTCCACTGACTTTGGACTGTAAGATCTTCTTCAGTCTCTCGTGATGTATTCAACTTCTAATCTTCTTCTTGACCTTAGTGTGCTTGATGTTGTCAGGATGTTGAAGGATGCCTAGGCATTTGTAGTGCTCTTCCTCAACCAGACTTTTCATGTCATTTCCATAAAGTGTCTTCAGTTTTCACTATTTTTTCCATGCAGATGGTGAGGGTATTTTCCCATACAGCTTTAGAACATCCATGTAAAGGAGGTTGGATTAGCCTGGCAGATGTTTTTGATGTTTGATAACCATGAGCAAGACTTGTTCAGTAATGTTGACAGAGGAATCAATGCACTGATAACAATAGTTGTGATAGTCAGTCTCCTTGGAAGATTTCCTTTTTAATCATCATCATTATCATCATCTTACATTTTAAGGAGGTACCTGGTTGATACCTAGGATGCTGGCAGCAACCCGTGTCAACCATCAGCCCCAGTCAATTTGAATGTTCAATTGACTGAGGTTCACATCTAATAATAATAATAATAATAATAATAATAATAATAATAATAATAATAATAATATTCCTCAAGAGAGGAATATTTCAAGGAGATTCATTATCACCATTACTATTTGTTATTACACTGTTTCCTCTGTCAACAATACTGAATAACTCAGGACATGGCTATCAAACATCAAAAACATCTGCCAGACTATCCCACCTCCTTTACATGGATGATCTGAAGCTGTATGGAAAAACATCATCTGAAAAAGAACCGCTGCTCAACACTGTCTGTATATATAGCCAAGATATTGCAATGGAGTTTGGCTTGGACAAATGTGCCACACTTACTATCAAACAAGAAAAAA